AAAAAAAAAAAAAAAAAAATCTTTTGCCTGGAACTAGGCAAGCTGGCACTAAAGTTCATATGAAGGGGAGAAATCAAGAACAATTAGGAAAATTTCCAAAGAAAGCAGCAGTTCAGGGGGCCTAATCCTACCAGTTTTAAAACACAACCTTCATGGGGCGCCTGGCTGGCTCAGTCAGAAGGGCATGAGATTCTCGATCTTGGGGTTGTGAGTCCAAGCCCCACATTACTTAAATAAACATTAAAAAAAAAAAAAAAGACCCCAACCTTTATGAATGAAATGGTTTGGTTCGCCGCGAGAATGGAGACGTGTCTGTGACGTACAGCACCAAGTCTAAAAACAGACTTTACAATAATCCACAGAACTGACTGCAATAAACAGTGTTGGAGTAACGGTAGTCATTTGGGCATGGACAAAACAGCATCCGTATCTTACACCATAAAAGAAAAAAGTCCAACTGATCAGTGATCTAAATGTAAAATATTCAGCAACACAGAAAACAAACAAACACAAACTATGGGTGAATTTCCCCATCACCAGTGCAGGGAAAGGTTTCTAACTATGACTCAAGATACTGGGACTGCTTTCAGCCAAGATGAAGGAGGACTGCATTTACCCTCCCTCCTGAAAGGACACCAAAAAACAGAATATACAAAGCTGTGGTCTCCAAGATGCTGATCTTGAAGCAACGATCGTGGACAGTAATCAGAGACCGGAAATAAACAAGGTGAGGCCTGTGGTTACTGCCTTGAGAGTTTCCAGCCCTGCAGCAGGGAGGGAGAACCCAAACAGAGGTGAGGACGGTTGACACACTGGCGAAACAGGTAGGAAAGTATAGCCCGTACAGAAAATCATCAATCGACCAAAGTGGGCCCAGAGCGGACACAGATGTTATAAGCGCCAGAGCACAAGGAAACAGTTTATAACGGGATTCCTTATGTTCAAAATATCTGAGTAGAAACAGGGAGGATATAAACAAAGACTCAGACTGAACTTCTGCACATAAAAGCTACAGTGTCTGAGATGAAAAGTACAGCACACCAGATGAACACGCTGCCGGAAAAAAAGATCAGTCAACTCAAAGCACAGCAACAGAAGCTTATATAAGATGAAGCACCCAGAGAGAACAGAGTTTGAAGAGAATGAAGAGTGTCAGTGAGCTGTGGGACGACTTCAAGTGGCGGAACATACAGGTAAGAGGAATCCATGCAGGGCGGATGGATGGGGAGACGGGGGGCATAGCTGAAGAAATACGATCAAAAATTTCTCACGGTTGCCGAAAAACATAAACACACAGATCCAAGAAGTTCAAGGAGATCCCCAAGCACAGAGACATGAAGAAAACAATACCAAGACCTCTCACAATCAAACTGCTCAAAACCAGAAACAAAGAGAAAAGTTTAGGGGTGCCTGGGTGACTCAGTCAGTTAAGCGTCTGACTCTTGATCTCAGCTCAGGTCATGATCTCCCAGTTCGTGAGTTCGAGCCCCGCCTCCGGCTCTGTGCTGACAGTGTAGAACCTGCTTGGGATCCTGTTTCTTCCTCTCTCTCTGCCCCTTCCACCCCCTTCTCTGAAAATAAGTAAATAAAAACTTAAAAACTTAAACGCAACAAGAGGAAGAAAAATAAGTAAAAACCAGGTTATATACAGAGAAGGAAGCTGAGGAGGACATCATATTTCTCTTGGAAACAATGTAAGGGAGAAGACAGCAGAGGAACAGGTTTGAAGCACAGGAGAAAAACCAGCATAGCTCCCTTGACATAAAAGCCAACGCAAAAATAAAGGCGTTTTCAGACATACAAGGCCGGAAGGAATTCATCATCAACTAGAAGAAGAGGTGACGGAAGTCCTTCAGGCAGAAAGAAAATGACAGAAAATAAGAGTCTGGATTTTTTCAGAAAAAATAGTAACTATGCTATTCTCCCTTACTCTTTAAAAGATAACTGTTTACATAACAATCACAATGTACTGCGGGGTTGATCCTGCCTGTAAAAGCAAAATGCAACAACAGTTTAAGGACCCAGAAGGGACAAATGGAAGGGACCATAACCTTCCTGCATGCTAAGCAAAAGAGAACATCACTTCAAGAGAAACTGTGATGAATTAAAGCTGCATACTACAAACCCTAAAGCACCCACTGAAATAAAAACCGTGCTATAGCTAACAACCCCACAAAGGATGTGAAATGGAATCATAAAAAAAAGCAATTAGTCCAAAGGAAGGAAAACAAGGAAGAAAGAGGAGACAAAGCTGATGGGACAACTAGAAATCAAAGACAATGGACTACAACCTAACCAGTTATGCCAATAATTGTATTAGGTGTAAATGGCCGAAGCAGCCCAATTAATAGAAACTGTCAGACTGGATTAAAAAAAAAAAAAAAAAAAGCAAGACCCCACTATGTGCTGTCTACAGGAAATGCACTTATTAAAAAAATGTTTATTTATTTATTTTGAGAGAGGGAGTATGTGTGCATGAGCAGTGGAGGGACAGAGAGAGAGAAAGGGAGAGAATCCCAAGCAGGTTCCACACTGTCATCACAGAGCCAGACAGGGGGCTCAAATTCAGAAACTGCAAGATCACGACCTGAGCCAAAATCAAGAGCAGACGCTTAACTGGAAATAAAAAATTGCTATAAAGGAAATTACTGGGAAAACTTGTTAAATCAGAAAGTGAACTATAGATTCGATAAAAATATTATATCAAAGTTACATTTCCTGAATTCAGTATCTTTGATCTCAAGAGGTACAATCTGAAAAGGGACATGACAGGTGACATCTACTCTCAAATGGTTCAGAAAAAAATACATATATACACAGAGATAATAAAGCAAATGTGGGAACATGTCAAAATCTGGAGTATCTGGGCAAAAGGAACACGGGAGTTCTTTGTACGATCCTTGCAACTGTTGTGCAGTTTGAAGTTTTTTCAAAATAAAATGCTGAATAAAAACGAAAGCTATCGAATATATAGGGGATGTTTCAAAAGACTCAGAAACCAATCTGAAGAGATTCCTCTGGTCAAAGACAGATCCACCTAGACACCAAATAGAGTGACAACTTCAGTGTACTGAAAAACTTAAAACGCGTCTAAACCCGTGAGCTAATGGTAACAAAACGAAACACGCAAACAAAATTCCTGTTGCACAGGAGCCTACTCAATATTGTGGAAATTATCTTTTCTGTGTGAACCACAGAACGATTTGAGAGATGCTTTCCTTTAGAAAAGTATTCTAGCTAGCAAATGAAGAAGAAATGGTAAAGCAGCATGTATCACCTTGTCTCTCCTGAAGAATTGGCAATGAACATCAGCCAATGGAGGTTAACATCACACACAAAAAAGACAGGATTAGAACACGGCCTCCAGGACAAAGTAGACAAGGGTCATGAGGAACAAAGTCTTGCCAAAAGAACTGAACGTAAATGGGTAAACTTCCCAAGTTAACTACCAATTTTACAAGACTTACTGGGAATTAAAAAAAAAAAAAAGTGTGAAAGTTAAAATGACAGCAATGTGATACAGACCATGGGAAACTAAGGATAGACCCAATTTCTTCAAAACATAAATTACAAAGTAACACAAGAGACACACAGGGGGAGCTACTATTAAAAGATTTAAAAGACAGGGCGCCTGGGTGGCTCTGTCAGTTGAACGTCTGACTCCTGGTCTTGGCTCAGGTCACCATCTCGATCGTGGGATCTTGTGAAATCGAGTCCCACGTGGGGCTCTACCATGACAGCATGGAGCCTGCTTGGGATTCTCTCTCTCCCCCCACCCCTCTCTCTGACCCTTTCCCACTCGAGATCTTTCTCTTTCTCCCTCTCTCAAAAATAAATGGATAAACATTAAAAAAAAATTTAGGGGCACCTGGTGGCTCAGTCAGTTAAGCATCCGACTTCGGCTCAGGCCATGATCTCACAGTTCATGAGTCTGAGCCCCATGCTGGGCTCTGTGCTGACAGCTCAGAGGATTCTGAGGCATTCACACAGAGGATTCTGTGTCTCCCTCTCTCTGCCCCTCCCCGCTCACACTCGTGTCTCTCTCCCTGTCAAAAATAAATAAACATTTAAAAAAAAAATTTAAAAGACTTATCGGCCAGCTACAACATGTAGACTGTTACACGTATCCTGATTGAAAAGAACAAACCCGGGGCGCCTGGGTGGCGCAGTCGGTTGGGCGTCCGACTTCAGCCAGGTCACGATCTCGCGGTCCGTGAGTTCGAGCCCCGCGTCAGGCTCTGGGCTGATGGCTCGGAGCTTGGAGCCTGTTTCTGATTCTGTGTCTCCCTCTCTCTCTGCCCCTCCCCCATTCATGCTCTGTCTCTCTCTGTCCCAAAAATAAATAAAAACATTGAAAAAAAAAATTTTTTAAAAAAAGAAAAGAACAAACCCAAAACATTCGGAAAACTGTGAACCTCTGAACACCAGATATTATATATTAAAAAAGAGAGATAATGTGGGCTATCCCCACTCCCTCTTTCAAAGACTCCTCATCAGCTCAAGGTATTTACAGAAATACTTCAGGTGACTTGTTTTAGAGGCCAAGAACCAAGAGACCCCAGGAGAAAGTATCCATTTGTAAGCAACAGGTCAACAGCAAACACATGGTGATGTGCGGTAAGGGCTGGAAAACGCCCAACGGACTTGACTGTAATGAGGTCAATGCTAATCTTTACCACCACATTCAGGAGAGTGGTGAGGACAAAACCCAAACGCTGGGGATTAACGGAAACAGGCGTGAGGACACATTTACTAGAGAATACCTTCCCGTACCATTTACGGCACAACCTGAATAAACAGTAACAGAAGCATCTGAAGGAGGAACAGGCTGTTTCCTCAGGACTTCGCTTTTACCCCTGGATTAAACAGTAGCAGGGAAAATATGTCTGGCTGGATCACAGCATTTTGGTGCGTGTCATTTCTCCCTGGGCAGGCCCTCAGCTCAGATAAGCTACAAGTATAAGCCACGTGTTGCAATGACATTAAAGGTTGTTACCGGGAAAGCTATCCCTGGTTATTTCAATTTTAACAAGAAAATTTTTTTCAAGTCTTAGGAAATCTTTAAAACCCACAAGTAACAGACTGGGTTCTTCTTACAGTCAATACAAATCACGTAATGGGCGGTACTCTTCGTTTTCTGTAACTGTCAGGAACATCAGTTACATTTGTAGCTATAGGGGCACGTGGGCAGTCCAGTCAGTTAAGCCTCTTCTGCTCAGGTCATCATCTCCCCGATCTCGCCGTTCGTGGGTTCGAGCGCCATGTCGGGCTCTGTGCTGACAACATGGAGCCTGGGGCCTACTTTGGATTCTCTATCTCCTTCTCTGCCCTTCCACTGCTCAAGCTCTGTCTCTCTCTCTCAAAAGTAAACATTAAAAAAAAAAATTTTTTTTTAATATTTGTAGCTCTACCCCCACAGCCCTGAAGTAGCCCACTATCTACACACATAAACTCAACAAGGACTCTGGGTGCCGATCCAAATCCTAACAATTTTATTTTACACGATGATGTCTTTTATTTATTTCTACATTCCCACTGTAAAATCTGGAACCATATAAACCTCCTAAAATGCATTAAAAAACAAGTAAGAGAACATATACAGACAAAGGAAAGCTCACCTGGGACTCATTCATTTTCTACTGCTCTTGGAAATGCGTACAGACCGTTAACGGTGGACCTAGGGAAGGAGAAAGAAATAACAGAAGTCATGGGTAATCTGGCCTGCCCAGGCAGGAGCATCCTGCGTAGTAACCGCCAAAGAAAAGCTCATAAAATGACACCCTGTGAACACTTACAAGGAGCTAAAGATGTGACAAAGGTGGAACACAAAGCATACCTGTTACTCCCACATATCAGGAGATGTTTGGTTTTAAGTTTCTTAATGTTTGTTTATTTTTGAGAGACAGAGCGTGAGCAGGGGAGGGGCAGAGAGAGAGGGAAACACAGAATCGAAAGCAGGCTCCAGGCTCCGAGCTGTCAGCACAGACGCTGATGCAGGGCTCGGATTCACTGACCATGAGATCAAGATCTGAGTTGAAGTTGGACCCTTAACCAATGGAGCCACCCAGGCGCCCCACAGGAGATGTTTAGATGGGTTACCCTCGTTGGTTAATATAAATATTCACTCCTTTTTTAAATAGTTTGCCTTCATTAAATTAATGTTGCCAAAAAAAAAAATCTCCCCTTACACCGT